AATAGGGTAACTGTAATTATAGTAACCTTCTAAAATTATTTACAAAAACCTGTTTAAAAAATTACAAAGAATACATACCAACATTAATATTTTTTCACAACTCTCAATACATCGTACTTTACATTATGTTGTGTGACTCTTACATTACAAGGAAATTTTTGTAGTAATGCTCTCTATCAGACTGTACCATTGCTGATCTATTTGCATACCGTTAGAGATATTGATTAAATTTTTACTATTAGATTTAATAATTTCGATGTGTTCTTTAAATTTACATTTATAAATGTTTTTTCGGAATGGGGGATTAGAACAATTAATATTTTTTAATTGTTCTAATAATAGCATTAAAAAATGCTGATGAAGTTATTAATAGTACAGTAGAGCATCGTTTATCCGAATCAATTGGGGACTGGGGTTGTTCGGATAACTTATTTTTCAGATAATCGATTATGTACGAAAAAACATATTAACCTATCCCATATTGAAATTTTTTTCCATTGCATGTCGCTTCACATTAGGCTTAACATCAACGAAAATTCGTTGAATTTTCGTTGATCGTTCGTTGAATTCGTTGAATTCGTTGAATTTTCGTTGATCGTTCGTTGAATTCGTTGAAAATTCGTTGAATTTACGTTAGGCTTAACATCAACGAAAATTCGTTGAATTTTCGTTGATGTTAAGCCTAACGTAAACTTTTTAAAATAATAATCGTGGCTATTGTATTGTTAAAAATTATTTCTTTATTTTTTACAAACGAAATAAATATATTGAAAAATATAAAAACCAGAAATTATATACTTTAGAAGTTGATCTAGTATCAAAAACGTTCGATTCAGCACGACACACAGTCTTCAGAAAAACACCACACAAAAATGCCATGGCTGCCAGCTAAAACACACACACCAACAAAAAAAAAATATTGGAGTATCCCAAGATATAGCCAAAGATTGCAGCGCCACAGCACTAGTGAAAATTTAAATTTGCCAATTTAAATGCTTTTGGTTAACCGACGTTTCGGATAAACAACGCTCTACTGTATTCAAAAATTAAAAAAGGAAAGAACAGATAAATTAATAAGTTTGGATGCTAGGAATATATACCTGAATATAAAGTGGAAATTAATAGAAAACAGCCTTATACAACTAAAAGTAGACAAAACACTGATAGAACTTATAGAATTTGCTTATAAAAGAAACTATTTTGAAATATATAATGATTTTTACAGGCAGATAGAAGGGGAAAAAACATTTATAAATGTAAATTTAAGGAACACATCGAAATTATTAAATCTAATAGTAAAAATTTAATCAATATCTCTAACGATATGCAAATAGATCAGCAATGGTACAGTCTGATAGAGAGCATTACTACAAAAATTTCCTTGTAATGTAAGAGTCACACAACATAATGTAAAGTACGATGTATTGAGAGTTGTGAAAAAATATTAATGTTGGTATGTATTCTTTGTAATTTTTTAAACAGTTTTTGTAAATAATTTTAGAAGGTTACTATAATTACAGTTACCCTATTGCTGTAATGCATCTTCAAGAATTTTTAAAGATTGTTTAGAATTTTAATGTAATATGATATATGCTCATTTTAAAGTAATGTAGAAAAATTTCCTTGTATTGTAAAAATATTTATGTTAAATTTTATGGTTTATTTATGTTTATTGATTAAGGATTTGTGAATAATGTAAAAAAACCCAGAAGTGTCATATTAGTTTAGCAGAAGGATTTGTAAGAAAAAATCGTAAAAAATCTTTTTTGGTATGATAAAATAGTTTTTATGTCAAAGGATATAATCTACACATGTTATATTGTTACATTACTGGTTGTTCTAAATTTTTTAGTATAGCACTGAAGAGGGACTTAAAGATAAAATAAGCTCGAAATGCATATGTAACCTGTATCTTTAATAAAGGATGTTCCTGACCTAAAGGCTGTAAGATAGTCTACCAGAATTCTTGTGATTTTTCAGATTAAAAAGTCATATATGTGTATGAACGAATAAACAGCCACCATAACAGATATTTGATAGTATGAATATAAGTCAAATTCAAGGTGATCAGTTTATAATGCTGGTTTAGACTTAAGTCTACCATTTAAGTCAACTCCAACATATTAACTATTAGGGCTAAAATGTGAGTATGGTATTCTATAACCTATTAAAAAAAATATATAAGGCCACATTTTTCATGTAGACCAGGGGTGTCCAATCCATTGCCCAAGGCAAGTTCCAATGAGGCCCAATAAACTTGTAAACAAAACCGGCAAATTTTTTATTTATTTATTTATTTCAATGGCATAAACCTCAAAAAAGAAGTTTCACAAAGCCTTAAACGTTTATACATATCTTATTTTTTAATAGAAAGGAAATATTTTCAAATACTTGAAATATGTGAATGAGGAAGGAATACTAAATAAAGCTGGAGTCGTGACTCAAAGAATTATAGCCCCAAATTCAAGGAAAGAAAAGAAAGGCCAAAAAATAAAAAGAAGTGAGAAAGATTGGAAAATTAAGGATCAATATTTGCATAACAGAAGGTCTATTTAACCTTTCTCATTTCTTTATATCTTAATCTTTTTCTTCATTCCCCGAATTTGGGTCTATAATCCTTTGAATCCCAACTCTAGCTTTATTTAATATTTCTTTCAGTATTGCAAGATTTGGCTACTTTACGTCAAATTTGGCTACCCTTTTTTTAGTTTGACGTAAAAAATATCATTTGGCGCATTGGCTACATATTATTTATAAATATATTAGTTAAATAAAAATGCGTTTTAAAATGGTGTTTCGTTGTTTTTTTTATTAATAAAGACCCAAATAAAACAAATATTTGTGTTTTTCAAATAAATTTTTGTTTGTCTTCATTATAATAAATAAATTTATCTATTTCTAAGAAGAAATTAAAAGTGTCTGTAGAAGTAATTTTTTTAAAATATATTTTTTGTGATAAAGTTTTAATACTTATTACTATAATCTAGAAATGTAAATGCTTAAATATACTTGTATATTTAAGGATTGGGTCACAATATACTTGTGGCTCAGAACTCCATGACTTCTTCCAATGTGGTCCAGAGAAACAAAAAGGTTGGACACCCCTGATGTAGACACTACCCATAATACTTTCCAATATATAATTTATACAGAGTGGAGACAAAAACATTGTGTAATATAACTTTTAAATAAAAACAATTTATGTAAAAGTTATATTACATACTTTGATTTATTTGTCATCTGTAAAGTAAATTGTAAAAAGTAAAAATAATGCTTATTTTTTAATCATTTATTTTATTGTGTAATTTTCAAAGCATGTCATATTTTATGACATAATTGAAAATTTCAAGACAAGTCTATGACACATTTATTTTCCTGTATTATTTTTAATGTGTTTACTTTTATTTTAAAATTGATATTAATTCATTGTATTTATTATATGTAAACCTTATAATGTGTTGTATCATTTAATTTGGAATGTAAATTTCAAATTACATCATATTCTGTTTGGAATATTTCTTCATTTTTGAATATTCTATCTGTGGAACAGCTCTTTTTACCTGAGGAAGGCCTCTTGATGTGGCCAAAAATGTTTTTAATTTTTATCATGTGAGGTTTTTTTTTATCAGTGTCAATTGCCACATGTTCCAACATACTGGTAAATTTACATAAAAAATAATTTAATCTTTAGCCATTAAGATAGAAATTATATTTGTTTTTTGTGCATTTTAAAGTGTATATCAATATTACAGTAGTGCAGTTTAATGCTTGTTTGTCAACATGTTATTGCAATATTTAATTTGCTGTAGTTAATTCCTGATATAATAATTATACAAGACAAACTTAAAAATCAATATATCAGTTTTCATGGCAGTCAGCAATAATTAATTTTTTAATAGAAAAAAATGAAATCAACTTTTTGTCATATCTTTAAAAAGTTAAACTGGTCTCTAATTGCTACAATATATTCTTAGTTTTTGTAGCAGCTTTCTGATTAATCTTTTAATGTAAGAAAGGTTTACCTATTCCTACATAATAGATTTTTTATTAATTTCTCTTATATGATTTAATTTGCTAAAAAATTATATAAAATTTCATAATTTTGATCTGTTAAAAACTATACTTTGTTTCATCAAAGAATGCACCTCTCTAAAACACATGACATCACTGAAAATTCTCATTGGCTACGCGGCACTGTCCATCTCCTGTTTTTCAAAGAAAAGAATTTTGCCAACTTTAACATTTAAAAGTTTTTATAGGTTGCAGTATATTGCTAAAGCCATTAATATGATATACAATTTTTTAAATGAAATTCAAGAGAAATAGATTTGGGAATTTCGACACAAAAAAGACAGAACAATTCTCATTCATGTGCAAACTGGATAACCATCACATTATAAATTGGTGCACTTTAAAAAAAATTAAACTTTAGATAGGTAACAATTATTAAGCATTGTATTTATCATTTTACACTTACAGGTAGACTGCGCTGTGATATAAATTACTTTATACAGTTATTAAAACACTGCCAGTGTTATACATGTAACTGCACATACCAAAATGAACCAACAAACCACAAAATTCATTGCAAATGATACAAATGCAGCAAGGTGATTTGTTTTGACACTGCATTCTTAGGTGAAATGAAATATAACAGAAAATACTGCTAATATGTGTACTTGTTAAATTAATGAAATTTACAAACAGTTTAATTTATAGAATAGGGAAATATAGGATTTTAAAATATTTTACAATGTATTTAAATATTTAGTAAAATTGAATATTTAAACACATTGTAAAATATTAATTTTTTAAAATTTAATCGTATTTTTATTTCTCAAGATATTTCATACATGAAATGTATTTCAAAGATTATTCCCCTTATAAATAGATGTATTTGCTTATTTTTAATTATTTATTACACAATATAATGTTATATATTGTTTAATATTTTGAGAACTGAAACTATAAAGTGTTAAGTAATTAAATTTTATTTTCAGAAAATAACAAATTTATTCGAGTTGTTTTCACAGAAATTGATGGAGAAAGATTAAAGAATTTTCAATATCCAGAAAGGTATGTAGCATTATTATTATGTTGGGTTTTGTGAGTTATACTCGGTTGACACCGCTGGCAGTGTACTATGCTGGACCAGAGTCAAGGCAAAGTAACTAAAACAAAATTAAAATTAATAAAATTAAAACTGTGTCACTGTGTGTGTCTGTATTCAGGAATTTCCTAACAATATGACATGCAATCAATATAGTGGCCTTCTGTAGTGTGATGTATTTGTTTCTATTCAATTGTAATGTGCCCAGGCTTTTGTGTAGTGTGTGTAGTATGACACCTGTACAGGAAAGAACAACAGGTACAATAAGCACCCTATCCATCCTCCACAGATGCCTTATTTCCTGGGCGAGTTCTGTGTACTTGCTAATTTTTTCAGTGCATGTGTTTTGTACATTGTGAGTGTTTGGAATGGCTATGTCTATAATGTATGTGATTTTATTGTGTTTGTCAATGAGTGTGATGTCTGGTCTGTTGTGGTAAATTGTTTTATCTGTGATTATGGCTCTGTCGTAATACATTTTGTGCGTGTTATTTTCCAATACTGTCTGTGGAATATACTTGTAGTATGGTTCGTGGATGTCTGCCAATTTGTGTTTCTTTGCAAGCTCTTGGTGTATTATATTTGCTACTTGATTGTGTCTATGTAAGTAATCTGTCTGTGCCAAGAGCTTGCAACCAGAAGTGATGTGTTGTATAGTTTCTGGCATGATGTGACATTTTCTGCATGTGTCATTTGTGAGTGTTGTATCTTTGAGTATGTGTTTTCTGTAGTTTTTAGTATTTATGACCTGATCCTGTATGGCAATCATGAATCCTTCTGTTTCCCCAAACAGGCATCCCCTGAGCTAACCAGCTATTTGACAGTTTTTTTATTATTATTACAGTAGAGCATCAATTATCCGATTCCCAACTAACTGTCACATCGGTTAACTGACCACTCTAGTCAGCAAAGTTCAAATGTCTGCTAGTGATGTGGTGCGTGCTACAATATTTGGCTATGTCTTGGCTATTTCAATATTATTTTTGTTAAATTTTTGCGTGTTTTAGCTGGCAACACTGGCTCGACCATGAAAGGGAGGCCAGTATTTAAACGAGATTTAATTTTGTAATTATGAGTGGTGGTTTGTTTTGTGAGCAATAAAATAAATTTAAAATATTTTTTAATGATACAATAGCGATGATTATTATTTAAAAAAAAAATTTTGTTAGGCTTAACATCAATGAAAATTCAACGCGAAGTAGGTTAATAGCGATATACTAATATACTATACTAATAATGTATTTTATCATTCTTTTCGGTTATCCGACCAACCCGAGTCACCAATTGAGTCGGATAATCAATGCTCTACTGTATTATCGTTATTATTATTATTTTGTCATTAAAAATAATTTATTTTATAACAATAAACAAATACAGTTGAACATGTCTATCTCAAATATCACAGGAATGAGAAAAAAATTTGAGATATAAAGGTTCTTATACAGTTAACAGTAGCCTAATAGGTTTTATCACAGATTAACACCCAGATGGGGCACGACTATGGCAAGCCCACTGCGCTCCATAACTAATGCCATCTTACGGCAACTGCAATAAAGTAATAAAATTGCTATTGATTATATCAGCTACTGGAGATTTTTTAAATTCAAATTGTAATGATGAAAGATGAATAAAAAGAAAAATAAAAAAATAAAAGTTAATTAACTTCTTGTTTAGTAATAAGTTAGATTTAAGACAGTTAATTTTAAGTTAGTTATCAGTATATTTGCTATTTCTCCTAGTTGTTTCAGTTAGGTTATTCTGCTTCTTATAGGGCTTGCTAGCTTAGTTTCTGTATTATCTCAGTATTAGTGTGAAGATTTTATTTTTCAGCATTAAACTATACTATCTCTAGCTTATATGTACTACTACACTACTTATTGGTATATGCTAGAACTCAGGTTTTCTTTTAGAACCATGGCCATGAAGCCTAAAAACTGCATGCTAACATTAATCGTAGAGGGAATAGTAACTTACATATGCCACTCAGAGGAACTCTTCCTTTCTCTTCTTTCTATCTCTTCGCCCTTTTTTTCTTTTCCTCTTCCCTCCCTTTCTTCTGCTGGCTAAACACTTTCGGGACATTCCAATTTTCAACGCGAGTGTTGAGTGTTGAAGTCAACAATTTGACGTCATCAACGACGTTCCAACTCCAATACGAAGTGCTTAGTTCCCATAATTCCATTCTCAGCAAGATGGATTCCATTCAAATGTCTTACCAATTACCCACAATTCATTGGAAAGTAGCAGTCAACATATCTATTGAATGCTGAGTGTGTTGAGTCAGCACTGACAACAGCGCTACCTTAACATTGAAAAAAGGAACGAATTTTAACGAATGTTGAGATCAGCGCTGAGTCAGCGTTGAAAATTGGAATGTCCCGTTTGTGTACAGCTGCTGTCTTTTGTTAAATAAATAAATAAATGTGGAATTCACTACCAATTTGTCTTATGTGATGAATACACCTGAACTGGAAAGGGGATCCTGGTAATTGACAAACAACATACCAATCTCAACACACTATTTTGGCTTCTGATTCTGGTAAACAGGTGGTTCAAATCAGACTTCATTTGAATCAGCTAGCTGATTGTTGAGTAAGTTCTGACCTCAGTTTGGAGTTAGCTGAACAGGAATCAAATCAAAAAAGTACTTCTAAGTTGAACAAATCATAAAGCCATTTTAAATATATTGGTTAACATTGAGTCTTATTTGTTTCATCAAAGTCTAAATGGAGAAATGGTTGAAGAATTCCCATCCCAATTGACTGAGCTACAACAATATAAATCTGGAAAACCTGGTACATCAATCTGGATTTGTTTTGCATCCAGTTGCCAGGCTTGATGAGTGAGGTTACTGGGGCCAAATTTATTTTTTCTACTATAGAATTTATAAAAAACCTTAAGGAATGTTAGTGAGAAACACAAGCACTGATTCATGTTCACCATGCTTTATTATTTTACACCATTTTGGAGAACAAAAATTAACCCAACATTTTCATTTCTTGATCCAAGAGCTGCTAGAGTCCACAATAGGAAATCATTTTAAACTTCACTTTGAAGACATAGAAATAGAATTAACAACAGATAAACAATTGGAAAAATTAACAACCTTGACTTTCTTGGGTAGCATTAACATTTCTGTTAATGCTACCCATATTCATATTCAATTCTTTGAGATATCATGTATGAAACAGACATATATGAGGACTTTCAGACCAGGGCATTACAGATGTTAAACATATCATCATACAAAAAGAAGGGAAACCATTGAAAGTAAAACAGCTTATTCTGACCTAAACTCTACAATACTGCTTACTACTATATGCGCAGGATATTTAATCTGCTCAATGTACCTATATATCCTAACCCTTTCTATTGTTTTGAGTACAGGGTTTGAATGACTCTAACTTCAAATGTGTCAGAGTTTGTATGCTAAATTTCACAAAAATTTGCTTTAAGTTAAAACTGTGCACACAATAAAAAAATGTGCTCAAAGTGTAAATGCAGTCTGTTGTGTGCCTAAATCATCTCTTGCTTCCACTCTTGGGTTATACTTGTATGTTTTCAGTGCTTTTTTTCATTTTATTTTTGGCATTTGGTTATCCAACAATATCACAAATAATATACAATATATATTATCAATGAATCAATATATTATTTTGTGTGTTGTTTATTGATTTTTAACAATTTCTTTCTGCACTTTTTCTTTATTGACAGCTTTTGGATGTCCGTACATTTTGTATCCTTTATAAAGCCACACCAACTATCGTATAAGATCAGGCTGTTTTCTGGTGATTATAATTTTAATTACTAATTAATTTTTCCTAGAGGGAGGCATTTGGCACCATTTTGTATTAAATTTAATAATTATAATTTAATTAAATAATTTTAGAATATTTTGGAAGAAAAGAATCAGCCTAGAGCAAGACTTGAACCCACAACTCCTGCTTGCCATGCAGATGCATTGTAAATTACGCTACTTAATTAATTTGCCCTAGAGTCTTGCTCCAGGTTGATTTTTTTTGTTCTTTCAGAATATTCTAAAATTATTTAATTAAATTATAATTACATTAGCGCGTCGTTTATCCGAAGGTCGGTTATCCGAAGGAATTCCAGTCAACAAATTTAAATTTTTGCCAGTGCTGTGGCGCTGTAATCTTTGGCTATGTCTTGGGCTACTCAAATATTTTACGTTTTTGATACTAAATTCACTTCTGAAGTATAATTTTTATTGTTTTTATATTTTTCAATATATTTATTTTGTTTGTACAAAATAAAAAAATAATTTTTAACGATACAATAGTCTTCATTAGGCTTAACATCGACGAAAATTCAACGCAAAGCGACACGCAACAGAGATAAATTTCAACACAGGATAAATTAATATATTTTTTCGTACATAATTGGTTATCCGAAAAATAAGTTATCCGAACAACCCCAGTCCCCAATTGATTCGGATAAACGACGCTCTGCTGTATTAAATTTAATATGAGATGGCACCTAATGCCTCTCTCTAGGACAAATTAATTAATAATTAAAATTATAATTGTTGGAAAATATTCACTCTGTGTGTTTGGCATTAGTCTATCTAAAACTCAAAGCATAATATGCCTGATATACTCTCTATCTGAAGATATTTCAAGTTGATTTTATTCAAACAAAATGTGAATTAAAAAGTTCAAAATAGCTTCTAATCAAATAATACAATCTCACATTAACAATTATGTGTTAAATTTCACAGCTATTGTAGTTAAATCACACATTTCTGTTAAGTAATGACACCTGTTTAAAATAAGCAAAAACTTTCTGTTCAACTTATTAACTATGGCATGGTAGAAGTGTATGGAAGCAACAAAGTCTAAGATAAGAGGAATGTTATGATATCAATGATTTAGATGAAAAAGGAAATTATCACAAAGTCACAAAGCATGAATGAAGTACACATGTTTAAGATGCCAAAGTCAACAGTGTATGATCAGTAAATGCAATTTTTAGTTTATTAAGCAGTATTTACATATTTATTGTTTTCTGTTTTAATTTATTATTAGTGCATTTAATTGTGCTATTTCTACCTGAAATTATGTGTATTTGCTCTTTTAAGTTAATGAAAATGAGTATTACTTAGAGTCTGGGAAGGGATTAATTGACTTTCCATTATTTCTAATGAGAAAAATTGATTTGGACTTTGAATAATTCAGAGTTCAAACAGTCTTTTAGAATGAATTAAATTGAAGTATGTGGCACCACTGTATTAGTGCCACTGTTAATCATCATGCAGAGGAATAGCATTTGTCATCAATTTTAAAATTCTGATCACAGTAGTAAAAATTGTAACAACTCTCTGTACTGTGTAAATTGTAAGGACTTGCATCTCTTCTACAGTAAAACTTGCCCAGTGTGGCAATGTGAAAAGGAAATACAATAAATAAAAACAATGTAGAACATAGTCTATGTTCTGCATTGTTTTTATTGTCTTGCAATGTTGTAGCAAAGCAAATTGTTCCTCCATTACAGTCAAAAAATAATACTTATATGCTTCCATTGTTAAAGCTACAACAACAGTTGGCAAACAAACTGAAATATCTGTCCTCCAAACAAATCCAAATTTAATAGGTGAACTATTAAATGAAAAGTCAGTCTCAAAAGGAACATAGAAATCTGCAATAAAGAATAATAAAATTAAACTAGTCTTGTCTTCTAATCATGTTTTTTCCAAGAAGGAAAGGACAGTGTCATTCTTTAAATTTAAATTCAAATTTTATTTTAGGTTTTGATTTCTTAAATTTCTATGCTTTGTAAACTTCCGTTGTTGGTTATTGTTATGTTTAATGTATAGGGTATAAAAAATGAGTTAAAGAGAAGAAATCTAAATATCTTTCTTGTCTTTATGGATACCGGCTCCAAAATTCATAAAAACATCATACATAGTGGAATTTAGTCTGCACACGTATATGTTGTGTACTCAATCACACTGCAGTGTTTTGTGCCATGCAAATTTGATGCTGTACAGCCTTGAAAAATGGATATTTACGATCTAAAAATGTTACATGAATAACAACAGTCTAGAAACAGTCTGAAGAGCATTCTGCACCAAGTATAAAGTAGAATCAAATTGACCTTATGACAGCAACCCAAGCTGAAGTACTGTACAGGTTTCCAATGATGTGTTTGCTTCTGTAATTAACAATTTTGCAATTTGTCTTAATCATGTGATTAACTGTGAGAGAACACAGTTAATCATACCATGTTGTAAATTTGTTTTTTGAATGATGTGTATATCTGCTATCATTTGGGTGTAAAAAAATGTTTTGTTTTGTTACTGGTAACTTCTTTTTTACTGTATTTACGTCAACCCTGCTGTTATGTTTTATTTAATAATTTTATTATCTGACTTTATTTATCTTTATTTGTAATTTTTATTATGATCAAAATATTTTTTTAACCCTAGATAACTAAACTTAAATTCTAGTTATATTATAACTACACATTCATCGAGCGGACTAATTAAAAAATGTTAATACAGTAGAGCCTCGAAAACTTGGCCTAATGTGGACCGAAGGGTGGCCGAGTTTGTGAAAATGCCGGGTTATCGGGAATGGGGTTAAAAAAATAAGTATGAGTGTTTCCTCAGAAAATGCTGTACTGTACTTGTATGTATTGTTTACTTGAGAATACAACAGAGAATAAACTGCCCAATTACCCTTAAACAAAGGAAAAGTATGTCTTTTATGAAGGCATAGAGCCTTTACTACATGAAAATGAAAATTAATCAATACACTGTACAGTAATTTACCTGATAAGACAAACCTCAGAAAAATACTTTGAGGCATAAAGCTATCTTTATCATGAAAATTAATTAACTAAGGATTTTTTTGCCCTGCCAGGGAGTGGCCGAGTTATCCGGAGTGCCGAGTTTTCAAGGCTCTACTGTATCAACAAAATTGTTTAATAAAAATAAGAACTTGTTACATGGCACAATAGTATGGATAAATAGGAACTAAGTAAAGACAAAATATTTAGGAAATAAGATTACATGCAGTTTGTCTCCCATCTTCATAAAGAAATTTCACAGGAACATCAGTTTTTTTTTTCTGACATTATTAGAGACATAGATAGCAGAGCTGTTTATTGCCAATAGGTTTAGCATATTATAAAACACGCATAGTGGCCCCTTTTGGTTTTGTCTCATATTTGAACACATTTGATCTACTGTGTCTACCACACCCTTTGTACTATTATAAAAATGTATTATTTGCGGTTTCCCTGTATTTTTATCGATGTTAATTTAATCTTAAATAGTGGACATAACAAAAACAACTTTATTTGACTTGGCTTTGTACGAAACTAATGTCTTATTGCTGTCATAACAAAATATTGAAGTACCAATAGCATGTAATTTAGAATTTTTTAATTTTTCAGGAATTTCTCTTTCGTCACTTCTAAGAATGCCAACTAAGGTCAAATTATAAGGTGATTTCAATAGTTCATTTGCCAAAGATACAGAAGTGAATTTGTTATCCACAGTAATGTTACAGTTTGTTCCATGTAAAATTTCCTTTATGAAAAACGTAGCCAATATTTGTTTCTGAGGATCAGTACCTTTACTCAAATAGGGAATGGCATTTATCACGTACTAACTGTTTACATCTGCAGTCATAACAATGTACATAATGTACATGACTTTGCAACAAAGTTACGTAGTAACTAAACTTTCGTCGAGCGGACTATGGGATGGCTGTAAGTCAATTTCTAATTGACGTGTGAACACAATTACATCACACATAGCACTGTTTATTCAAATTATTAAGATAGAAAAAGAATGACCAGCAGGAAGTGCGGGAAAGTTTCTGAATTTCACTTTCGAGCAGAGATGCATCGTTGTGTGGACGAATGATTAGTTATCTAGGGTTGAATGTTTTCATTTGTTTGTTTAATGTCCAATTTGAAAAAAAATAATTTTAGCTATTTTTATATCACTATTTTTTTCTATAGTAATTTTCATTTGTTTATATTATTATAATCAAAATTATGATTATTTTTAGATACTATCTACATATAATTCCTGAAGAAGCTTTTAACATTTTAGAATATATTATTCCATTTGGAATTGCCACTGGAATTTGTGTTTTCATATTTTTATTAATTATGGTATGTTAGTTTTCATTATTTTAATTTTATAATAATCATAATTTAATATTTAAAATTCTTTTTTTAATTTTAAAAACACAAAATTTGTACTATATTTTATATAAATCTGTTTTATATTCTAAGTAACTTTTAAGTCCTATTATTTGTAAAGAAAAAAAAAATTTTGAATAATGAAAACAACTCCAAATTTTTAAAATAAAAGTCTACTTTATTGGAGTTCACTTATATTGAATGAGTTTCTCTGGTACTTTCAAGCTCATAGTCAGGAAATACACAAATGAATCATTTGATTACATAAGTCATCTAAATTTGTTTACATAATAGCTGAAAACTATTGTGTAAACAAATTTAAATGAAAAATTTAAGATTGTTGACATTCCACCGCTAAATAGAAATTTTTCTTAGAGATGTAGTAGCTAACTACTACATCTCTAAGAAAAATTTCTATTTTCCTATACATGCAATGTTTATACACCCCAACAAAACTATATTTTTACATCATCAAATGCAAATCACTCATTTTACCCTGCAAAAAAAACTGCATCTTCATTTTTTTTTTTTTTTTTTGAAGTTCCAAAAATCAAAAAGAAAAGAACAAACCAAATCATTTAGGATTTTTTGTAAAGTGAACTTTATTTGTAGGAGAGTGAAACAATTGATTTGCATTTGATGATTTAAAAATGTGGGTTTTGAATGACACACACAAATTTCACACGTATGGGAAATGGAAGGTGTCAAGTATTTTTTTAATGGAGGGTAGAGTAGTTATTTAAAAATTTTTCTAAGATTTAGGTATTGGCTCCTTGAATTTGACTTAGATGAGGATATTTTCCTGAATATTAATAATGAATTCTTTTAGAAAATCTGAAAGAAGTAATCATTAATCAGATAATTAAAATGAATGAAATTATATATGTTCTTTTAGATGATCAAGTTTCTTAGAGAACGTCGAAGAAACCAAAGGAACCGTCTCTCGTCACAGCATTTAAAGCAGTTACCAGTAATTAAATTTAAAAAAGGTAATTTCTAATGATTGTGAATACTAAATTTCTAATAACTTCTAATAAAAATATCTAAATCCAATTATTGACAATTTTAAGGCATTCTTTTGTTTTCTTTTATATGTGAATAATTCTATCCAACATATTCAACCACAAACAATAAAGCTTCAATTTGAATCAGTCTTCTTTATCTTTATTCATATATTTATTTTGTAAAGAATAATAGAATATTATTTTATGTAAATTTACCACTTAAGTTTTTGAACTTTACAGTACTATTAATGTAAGTAAAAAATAAAAAAAAATTAGATACACTAAATTATGGAATTATTAACAGATTATAAAAATTGTACTTTTCTATTATATTCCTACATTTTGCATTGCATGTCACATTCCAATGTTGTGCCCCATGCTGTAGGGTCACAAACTGTTGCATTACTTATGAAATGAAGACTAACTGCATTGTGATTTCAAATGAGGAATTTAAAGTGTGCAAAAATTAAGTGTGAATCATTTGTTTCTAAACTTTTGAAAATATTTTTTATTTTTGTATTTAATAGCAGTATTTTATTACTTTTATGAAAATATATCAGAAATAATTTGCTGTTACCTGTTGGTATGCAAATTAATCCATCAGTTTATAATTTTCAGTTAGACATACTGTTGACGTGAATAGTGAATATTTGTTCACTATTTTCAATTTGTATAAGAATGAAATTGTTCTCTTATTCTGCAGGAGTATGGTGTATTACATTTCTAATATTTTTTCAAAAAAATAATAAAATGTAGTTGTGCTAAGTGTATTAAAAGCTGTGTTGGACTTGTAACAAAGCAATTTTTAGGTGCAGTTTTAGTGTCTGGATTAATACATGGATGCACAGATCAAAGGTTAATTTTTTTTGTTTTTTAGATTTGAGTTTTCTAAGTTTGAGGAATTATTGTCAGCTAAGTTTTGCTTGCAACTTTGAAATGTAAATTGTTATTTTAAGTGAAGGAAAGTAAGTAACATACTTTTAAATTGTCATTGAAGTAGTAATAAGTAAAATGTTTTAATGTAATAAAATGAACAAAAAGTATGTAATTGTATGTAGAATAATCATTTTGGTTAATTTTGAAATAAAAATTTCAGTTTTTATTTTTTGAATAGTGTGCTTTAATGTAACAAAATTAACAAAAAAGTATTTGGATTATAAGATTTTAGAAAATTTGTTTTGGTTATTTTCAATTAAAATTTGATTTTGAATTTTTGAATAGTGTGCTTTCTCGACTCTGCACCTGATATGAAAAGCATTATGCAACATGGTGTGAAATGCAAGAGTATAATGGAAAAGTACCATAAAACTTATTCAAAACAAATAGAAAAATATGCTTATATTTTTCTAAGAATGAATTATCTTACAAAATAAAAAGAAATGAAAATATTTTAACTTTATGAATTGATAACTTTTAATACAATGATTTAAATTATTGTTTGAGATCAAACAGAATCTTTGTTTGAACTTATATAAATAAATAAAAAATTCAAAACTAGATTTATAACAAATCACTAACAAATGTGAAGTAAAGATATATTTTGAAAAATTATTTTATTGACCATAGAAATAGCATTGTATGCAAACTACAGCATTTCACAAGTTTCTTCTTTGAATAAATTAAATGATATTTTACTGTAAACATCAATCACAGTGGAACTAGGGCACTATGTGCATATACTCAAAGTAATGTGCAAAAATTCTTTTTGCACTGGGGTAAATGCTAAAGTGAACATTCTAGGAGAATACAAATAGTTTTGTGTCATTGATATGAATTCTGTAACATTTATCATTTGTGATTAAATAAATTATTATAAATACCGTATATTTGCGCAGATAAGACGAGGTATAAATTTTCATCAAAGTTTTATAGTTTTAGCATATATCTGTCCTAAAGACAACTCCCAAACTATCAACGGCCTATGAATTTAGTTTAGATCAGCTATCATCATCTGGATAATACTACTGTATAGCATATACGGAATTATGTTCAATTTGTAATTTTTCAAATGAACAAATTTCATTTTCTTGCATCTGGCAGCACTGCCTTGCTATTGTTGTAAAGCATTCCCACTGATTTGGGCATTCAGGTAATGACCTTGACTGTTACAAAAAATGTTGTATGGGCTATTCTATTTTGTGGCCATACCCTACTTTCTACTATTAAATAATTACAGTTTTACCGTTTTTTTATAATGATTTTAATTTATATAAATTTCAATCTAATTTTTTTGTATCTGTCTTATAAGACAAAACCGGATTTTGGGGATTTTTTTTATGATTCAACTATCATCTTATCTGTGCAAATATATGGTAAATAAAAGTTGAAAATTTTATTTATTTATTTATAATGGTTTAATTGACTTTAATTTAAATGTGTTGCAATGAATGTTAAATGGAGGCAGTGAATTTATTATTATTTAATTTTGTTTATACAAATTCATTATAACCTAAAAAGATCTATGATTCCTTTAGTATTGATATCCTCATTTTAAGCTAACATCAGCAAATAATTTTTTTTTTTAATTTTAAACTTTCTTTAATCAATTTGATTTCAACTGAATAATTTTATTGTTTGGCAATTTAAATTTATATATATAATGTTTAAATGCTAAATAGATTTAGAATGCTATTTTTTTCCAATATTAACATTTCAGAAATTTGAAATTTTTTTCCTCTTAAATTAACTGTTTAAATTCAGATAAATTCTTCAAATTTTCTTTGAAATTTATTTATTCAATATTTAATTTTAGTACATTGCTAAAATATTTTTCTATTAAATTTTAAAATATTTTCTTTAATAGGTGATCATCAATATGATACTTGTGCCATTTGTTTGGAAGAATATAATGAAGGAAACAAATTACGTGTTCTTCCTTGTTCACATGGTAAATTATAGTTTCTTTTTATAGAGCATCCAAGGATCATCCATAAACCATATATCCCAGTTTAGGGAAAGGAGGGTTATAGGAAAAGACTACAAAAAGCTACATAGGAGAAGGGATGGGTAAGGTAAAACACCATATGCCTATACTGTAATTATTTTCATAAATAAATTCGGAAAAATTTTAAAGAAAAAAATTATATGCTGTATTTAATAATATAGTGATATTTTTACAATTAATTAACTAACTTGGCCCACCAGTGGCCAAGCGGTTTTCGTACCCTTAACACTGGGAGTTCGGTCATGGGTTTGTGCCTCACTCGAGCAAGCTGGCCATGTGGAGTTTTCTGGGTTTTCTCCATGTCTGTAATGCCTAAATAGGGGCCAGTTTCCCTTAAAAAGACCTCCCAGAAGGCATTCTCCTAGGGAGATTGCCCAAATGTTGCATTGCCATAAATAAACAAACAAACAAAAACAATTAACTGACTTAGCCAATTTACTTGCAACATTAGTGCACAGTCTGTGTTAAGTTAAAGTGCTAATATAATTGCAACACTTTTATCATCTTTATCCAGTATGCAGGCTGTATAGAAAAACATGCTGTTTTAAAAACCTATTAGTGAAATGTCAATACTGACATCAATATATTTAAAATAAAATTCCTTTAATCACATACCCCAAACTGATTACAGTGTGCACATAAACAAAACAAAAACAAATGTTTTTGAACTCCACTTGAGTTCTTTATCGGGCTTTGTAACAATTACACGATGGATCTTTGTAAAAGCTTTTGGAATAAAAATTCAAACAAGTGCTGATATATAAGCTTGAAAAGTGTTCATTGAGTCCCAGTAGGGCAACTGAATGCACAGGCATAATGTGGTTTTTAATTTTTTGAGCTTATATTCAAATGCTTGTTCAAATTTTTATTCCAAAAGCTTTTATGAAGATCCATCGGGTAATCATTACAAAGCCTGATGAAGAACTCGAGTGGAGTTCAAAAATGTTTGTTTTTGTTTGTTTTTATGTGCCACACCGTAATTGGTTTGGGGTACATGATTAACTATATCCCAGTGTGATGAGTGGTTATTTAAAATTCTTTTTTTTATTTGAAAGGTTGAACAAATGTAATTTAAAAGAACCTGACTCTGGAGAATAATAATACAATTTTTTAAATGATTTTTAATGAAAAATTAAATATACATAAGTTCTTAAAAATATTTATAAAGGGAGGAGAAGAATTGGATCTTCTGGAAGATTTGGAGAAAATTAGTAAAAACAGAACAACATTGGTTCAAATTGAAGATTAAGACGTATTTGGAGCCTTTTTCTTTTTAAAGGGAGCATTTGACCATCAAGAAGTGTTTAAATTTCATCTAAAACAGGACATGTGGTTATGGACAAATCCAAATTATTAATAATAATAATAATAATAATAATAATAATAATAATAATAAAACAAAATTTATTATTATTATTATCAGTTTACTGTTATTGGATAAATTAATTAAAATATAACTATTGGTTTCTAAGTAGGATATAGCTATTAACTAACAGGAAGTGATGTAAATAAACCAAACAGCCAGAATTTGGGTTATGTTTTACGTTAAAATTCAGTTAGTGCCAGATTATTTAGTAGTGCTTTATTAAATAATTTAATAATTTACTTAATTTATAATTATTTTATGTTACAGTCAAACCTTGAATTTTGAACTTAATTCATTCTTAAAAGTTGTCCAAAAACCGATTTGTTCTAAAACAAACAAATTTTCTCAAAAGAAACAATAAAATGGATTAATCTGTTTTTAACCTCCAAAACAAAACTTTTTTTGTAATTTTATTTTAGCTGTATTTCAAGCATAAAAAATGCCTATAAAGGCAATTTTATAATGTATATAATCAATCAAGACAGACAACAAGTACTTTATCCACATTTTCTGAAATATTATGTTTCAATTGATTTGATTTTAATTTTAATTAATTTTTAGTTTTAGTTTTGGTGCAAAGATCAGTTTTAATTATTATTTTATTATTTTTAACTGGCTACCTAGTATTAACAAATATTAATATTATAGTATCTAATATTTTATTAATAAATTTTTATCATTTAATTTAACTTAAGTATATTTAAACAAATTCTTGCCATTTGTATTCTGTGAATGTCAATTAACACTGTTTTTATTAATTAATTTGATATAAATTCAACTATGGCATGTACTGAAAAAACAGAAATAGTATTTTTCCTGCATTCGCATTGAAATGTAATTTAAATAGTGATGTCCTCGATGATTCATATTGTGATGTAAGGCGATCTCAGCACCACTAACTTCTGAATTGGTAGTCCTTTGATTGGTCAGACCATTGACTTTCTTTAACATAGGAAGTTGAGGTAGGAGATCCAGTTCCACTGCTGGAACTGGAACTGTTGCAACTGGAACAGTTATGTCAAAACAGTTGGACTAGATGGTTCCTTGAAATGTAACATCTGAATTGCTTAGTCTGTTGGACAAGACTGTCCCTCATCAGTTTTATATATTGCATATAAAATGTTTGTTTCTCTATTCCTTGTTTTTAGTCGATCTGCTCCAAATTATTTTTGTTTAATTTGGAATCTGAGGAAAATATAGACTATCACAAAACCTGGTCACCTTACCTCCCTTGATTTTATCCCCCCCTTATTCATTTCTAAACTCTATGTCCAATCTGCACCAAATTTTTCATGCTAATTCTCTAGGACACTGGGAAAAATGAAGACTCATGAAATCTGGACATACTACCCTTTCTCTGATTTGATCTCCTCAATACTTTACAATAAACATAACAATTGTAAGCTACAATAACCAAATTTGTAATATGGTTTTCATTTTAATGTTTAGTCATTTACCTGTTTGGATGGGCAATGCTGGACATATCAGTTAGTGACTAATAAAACAAATAATTACTAACTCGAATAAAAATATAAATTATTAAAATATCTTTAACTTTAAAATACTCTAAACTAACTTGATTATTCCTGAAAACCTGTGGAACATTTTCATTAGTTCAAGTTCAAATCAAGAAAAAGAATTTGCCATTCTATGGAAAACCATATTCATAAAAGTATAGAATGAAGAACACATTAGTAGTTCTGACCTGAACTGTCTCGACACTCTGTGTGGAACTGTTCCTCGTAGTTCCAAGTCCATAACAGTTCCTTTTGGAACAGTTCCAACCAGAACTACCCATCTCTAATAGAAAGTTGACAATTGGTGGCCATCTGTGCGGAGTGGCTTGTTTGACAACCAAGTTATTGTACAGAAACTGGAGCAAAAAAGAGTTCAAAATTTTGTTTCTAAACCGAATAGTTCGAAAAGCAAGGTTTGACTGTATTATTAAAAATTAAGAAGAACTGTAAATTAATTCAGGCTGTTTCAATATAGTGTTATATATACATATATAATAACAAATATAGTGTTATACATACATACATACATACATACATACATACACAGGACTGTGATCTGTTGTTATATATGAAAAGATTAATAAATTTATTACATAATTTTTAAATTATTAAATTAAATGATATAATCTAATCTTTTATCTATTTATATTATTTATAAGTAAATATAAACAATTAAGAGAAGTTAATGTAAAATGTAATATAACATTTAAATATGAATCTAAAGAGTGGTCTACAGTTAACTATAGTTGTCTGAATGAAACAAATATGGAAGAAATGTGAGACCTTGACCATCCCAATTTCATCAACTATTTATGCTCTGAAAACTCTTCATTTCTGTTGCTAATGACTAAATTGTTTTTACTCCTCAGACTACAAGGGGAACTTGTATAACAAAACTAGTCTAACAACTTTTCAAACAGCCAATTTCGTTTTTAACAGATAAGGTCAATTTTGGTCAATTTCATGTTTAAAGAGTTAGTAGTCACATATAAATAGACAACTGACTCAAACATGTAAACTGTATCATTCCTTTTTGAAATACTCTCCACCACAATCTATTCAGCATTTCATCATCATAAACCAACTGTAGAAGCAATTATGCCACTGGATTTCTGAAATGCTTTCAATGTACACTCTGCAGGTAGAAGCTCTCTCTTATATACTCTGGAAATACTGTCCATGAATCAGTTCCTTGAATTCAGAATAAAGAGTAATAGTAATTTTGTTATTTGTTTTAAGGGTTACTGGTCCTAACACAATAACTATTGTATAAGTGTTAAATAACAAATTCTTGTCTTTAATTTGGTTAATATGCAGGGTGTCTGTGAAGGATCTTAATTGCCAAACAATCTGCTGAATTATTTTTTGGGTTATATTAAGGCTAATTTAATTATTAGATATAGAGCAATTTGGCTAGAAGTAGGCAGTTAGAATGCCATCTTATGATAAAAATTATTCCTAATTATTAAATGTAATTTAAATTTTGAATATTCTGGAAGAAAAGATTCACTGACAGGTTCACTTGCATACCAGGCAAGAGTAGTTACTATATTATTTCTGCTGATATCATATTTATGTTTTTTAACTTACTGGTTGAGAATAAATTAAATATCAAACTCAGCTTCTTTTAAAACAGTAAAACATTCAACACCTTATAATGCTGAGAAATATTTATTAACCCACAAACGTTTTCAGCCTAATGAAATAGGCCATCATCAGGTGATAAGTTACCAAACAGCATTGAAAATTGTGTTAAAATGGAACTTTCGAACATTACAAATTCAAAATTAAAACGTAAAATGAATTAACCAATCACTATACAAAATAACTATAATAAATAGATTGAAGCCATATTAATATAAATAATAAATAATAAAATAAGGCGATATAAAACTAAAAACAAAAATAAACCTAAAAGATTAAATGCACAAAAATGATTAAATTCATAAAAATATATATCAAAAAGCATCACATTATTAAGGCAGATATGAACTAAGACTTTTTGTGTTTTAACTTTTCTTTTACAAAGAACTTCCATGCCAAAGCTAAACCATCAGCAT